TCTGCTAGTAAGGAATTTGCTCACTCCAAAGGTCTGCTTAGTTGGTAATGCTTTAAGACATGCAGGCCCTTCTCTCTGCCAAGGAGGACCAGTCCTGCTTTGAGCACACCACCGAGGAAGCTTGGGTGGAGTGGACTGTCATGCTGTCCCCATCAAACAACAGTTCTGTGTGTCCCCAAGAGCCCTGGCTGTCCCCCAGGCACTGCCTAGTGGTCATGAGGAGGTATCTGTGACTGGATTTTATTAGTTCACAATCATAAACATTAACACCAGACTTCAGAATCCCAAATCAGGGCCCCAGAGGCGGCTTCAGCCTCAGTCAGAGGGAAGGGCAGAGCAAGATTTCCTCTGAAAACGTTGGTTCTGGAAGATGTTGCAATTTCTGTGGCTGTTACTTTGATGGATAAGTGGAATGTAAGGTTCTGTTCTCTGCTCTTATTATTAGTGATCCATATTATTTAAAGAACGTGGTAAACTTAGTGGGTCAAAGAATATGAAATGCATAGACGTTCATGTGTGTAATATATATCCACCTACATGCATGCCTACCTGCCAGAAATGTGAGCAACGTACAGCCAAGACTGCAGTGAAGGAGACAGCATTTTGGTCCTCCTGTTTGGTTGTTTTGTTTTGCTTTCATCCAACCACAGAAACTATACTTTCTGTAACTCAATCAGATCGCACTGTTTGAAATACAAAGCAGCATGGTACCATGGTCCCTTGCCCAACTCGTCTTGCCTTTGAATACAACTACCTGATTGGATAGAACTTCTTATTCTCCTAATTTAAAGTGTTTTTATATATCTATATATAGTGTTTGCTCTCTAGAGACGATTCTTCCTATTAGTCTACAGAATCCATAAAAAGAATGCATGTAGCTTTAGCATTTGCAGCTTTTTTTTTTTTTTTTTTTTTTTTTTTTTTTGCCAGGACAATTGTTTGACATAAATAACCATAGAGAGAGATACAAATTAAAAGCAGCCTAAGATCCCTCTGTGGTCGCATTGCAGCTAATGGGAAACAAAGCAGAGTTAGTCCTGAAGTGACACCAAAATGTATCCTTAGCAGGTGCAGCTGGGGATATTACATTCTTATTCTCTCCTCCTCAAGCCTGGTAGCTAAAAATGTGTGTGCTAACTTGGTGTATCTCACACACACACACGTAAGTGTATTTTGTGTTTTGATACTATATCAGGCAGCTGTAACGAGTGCAGTCACAACAATTGTAACTGTGGGAACCCATCAAAAGAATGTGGGTGACTCAGAAGTCTACAGTTGCTGGCCCATGATTCCAAGTAGGAATTGTCCTGATAGGACCTAGGACTTTGTCCTCATAGGTGCTAGTGCCCAGCAAGCAATCCCACTACCACCTTCATTCACCTCAACCTTCCTAAGGCTGCAACCCTGGAAATCAGTTCCTCGTGTAATGGTGACCCCCTACCATAAAATTATTTTCCATCGCTACTTCAGAGCTCTAATTTTGTTACTGGTATGAATCATAATGCAAAAATCCATGTTTTCCAGTGGTCTTAGGCCACCCCTGTGACAGGGTCATTTGACCCCAAAGGGGTCACCAAACCACTGTTCTAACCCAAGCACCTGTGACTCTTTAAGGAATTGTACAGACTTAGTAAGAAGCCACCTCGACAGTTCCTTTCTTAGATATAAAGCAAGGGTTGATGTTGTTAATCTAAATCTTGACAGCAAATGGCAGGAGCAAGGAAGGAAGTAACACTGCCATTTTGGAGCTTACAGACCTGGTGAGGACGGAGCGCCATTTGCTTCACTGTTTGCAGTGTACGCTTCCTTAGGTGAACTGGCAGGTAACTCTTACTCAGGAATATTGTGAGTCACACAGGGAAATCTCCAGGAATATGATTCCAGTTTGTGTTTTTCAGACAAGTCCAGATTAACCAACAGAGAAGCTATTCTCCACAGCTCCTTTGGAGTCCATATTTCCCAGCACACTTGAGTGTTGAAATAGCATATGCAATGTTGTAGAAACATAGATAAAAGACAACGAATACAAGAGACTAGGAGTTAAAGTTCCTAGAAAGCCCCAGGATTCTGTTAAAAATTCTACAAGGCTGTTAGACTGAATAGAAGCCCATGCTGTGGAGGGTTGGAATGTTGCCGATCTAGAACCAAATTATCTTGGGCTAGTTTTACTGCTCTTCACAGCCAGCACACATTGTCCTCTGTGTCAGACTCAGTATCCTTTTGATTATCAAGAAAAACCTTTGAAATTTATTTACTGAGGAGACCCTTAGGTCCCACCGAGCCCTAGGCTAAGAATGGCATTACATAGCATCTGAGACCTAAACAGCAGTCTTCAGTTTGCCGTAGCCTGCATCTGTGTTACTGGGATGTCCTCATTCACACTGTCTTTAACAAGAAGCTGTCTTCGCTGGGTGGCGGTGCCGTGCATGGGTGAAGGAGTTCCTGCTCAAGCACAAAGACCCAAGAGTGGCTCAGATGAATGGCAGTGTCATCCCCTCACTGGGAAGACACAGATAGCTGCTCCCCGGAGCAAGGCGACTAGCTGAACTAGCTGAATTGGCAAGCTCCAGGCTCAAGGGAGAGAGCCTGCTTCACTATATGAGGAGAGGAACCAGAGAGGACACCTGCCATCCACTCTGGTCTCCACACACGTGTGCCCACACATGTTCATGCCACACATATATGTGTTTTGCTCGTTTTAAACTCTATTTGGGGTTCCTTAAAGCCTCTCCCTTCCAACCCCCCAACCCTATGTAGGAAAGAGATGGTTAGTGGGGAGAGGATGGTGCCAACCTCTTTATTTCTCCCTCCTGTTCAGGGTCGACGGGTTCTTAGCATCAATACCAGCTCCAACAGCAAATGCAGCAAACATTCTCCTCCGTTCTATCCCTTCCCAGCCGCTTTCTCTTGCTCTGTCTCTGCTCCACTCCAAACTGCCACACTCCACATCTTCTCTTTCTGGGACCTCCTATTTATATCCCTTAGGGTCCTCAACCACGCTCCTCTGTGCTGCACAAGGCAGGCTGTTACCAGCTGACAAAGACCACACCCCACAGGAGGCAATTTTCAGCTGTGGACAAACTAAATCCCCACACTTGGAATTAAAACAAAAACATTTATATAACATAAACTGAGTTTTTTTAAAAAACTGAAACTTTCATTATTCATATACACATGTAACTTAAAGAAAAGTCTCCTTTTACTCTCTTTGAAGTGAGAGCTATGATTTATGCCAGAGGATAAAAAAAAATTTGATAGGTGCCAGGCAGTGGTGGTGAACGCTTTTAATCCCAGCACTTTGAGAGGCAGAGGCAGGTGCATCTCTGAGTTCAAGGGCAGCGTGGTATACAGAGTGAGTTCCAGGACAGCAGAGAAAGCAGGTCTGGGAAAACCAAAACCAAAACAAAAACAAAAACACGCAAAACAAACAAACAAACAAAAAACCCAATGACCAAGCAAATAAATCAAGAAATAAGCTAATTAGCTGAAAAACAATAGGTAGAAAATAAGGCAAAGGGTTTAATTTCAGATGTCTGTAGCACACTGACACTTTTAGTGGGCTGGGCAAGAAAGATAACATAGAATAGGAAAATCATAGAGAGGGCTAAATATCCAATCCATATCTCTTTAATCACTGAAGTTATTTATTAACTCAAATAAAAGTGGAACCGCTGTAGCTGTGTGATGGATTGGCTGAATTTCTATCTCAAAGTCAAATCCCTCCTCTTTTTGATCTGGCTGGAGATGTTTTTTTCCCTGTGGTAAGCCATCCCATCTTTTCACCTTCCTAATGCTCACTCTCTCAGAAGCAAAATTTGTCTTCCTGTTATTTCCATCATTCTCCCTTTCGTTTGCCTACCCTGGAAAGAGGCATTATGACTGGCTAGCTGCATGATTTATGAGCTCATTAAAGGATGGAAGAGTTATTCTAGAGAGAGAAAATATTTCCTGCTACCTAAGAAGAGCTTGTCTGATAAGCAGATGTCCTCATTGCTATCCAGAGAAATTAATTCAGTTTGCCAACTTGATCTGTAGAAGTGGCTCCCTGCCTTGCTGCTGTGGATGACTTTTCACCGAGAGGTCAAGTTTGGGGAAATACAAGCCTTCAGTATAATGCTTGGTAGTACAAGATACAATCAACATACAGGATAAGACTGAAGGGACATTGGTGATTATGATAGACAGTCCAAGAATAAACAAAACTGCCTATCAGGGAGTTCTGTTGCAGGGTTCATCACTCTTGTGTCTACAGAAACTTCTCCAAGGACAACAACTTCCTTCTAACAGGAATATTAACCTCTTTTCTATACAGCTTTTGATTTCTATATATTTCACTAAAGCAAATGATGATTTTTAAAAATCTTTTTGCTCCCTACATTTAGCTTTTCTGAGACCTGGTCTTCTCCAACTCCCATCATTCTTGTCCCGAGTGCCGGGCTACAGGCATATGCCATAACATCCATCCTTAGAAAAGCTAGTAAAGGCCAAAGCTAGGAGCTTAGGCTCAGCTTTATATGTGTGTGTTTGCATGTATGTATATACATCACCTGCACGCAGTTTCCATGGATGCCAGAAGAGGGCACCAGATCCTCCCCTGACTGTAGTTAGAGTTGTAAGTCACCATGTTATCATATGTGGGTGCTTGGAACAGAACCTGGGTTTTCTGCATGAGCAGATGCTTTTAATTGTTGAGCTAATTCTCTAGCCCTCAAAACTTGTTTTTGATGTATACATTTTCAGTTTCAGGAGAATAGAAATTTCACTCTCTGTGTTTTACTTGTTTTACAGTACTCTGTATTCTTTGTAGTGTGCATTATAAAGTTGTTGTTAAGCATAGAAATGGATTGGATTTAGATCATAAGCTTCTGGTTAGGACAATAATGTCCATTCAGGGTTCTCCAAGCTAGGGTTTCCCTTCATCCGGAGGATGATGGAAGAAAAAGATCGTACTCTCTGGCCATTCCACTGCAACAGTTGCTCATCTTATCATCACTCTTCAGGTGTTTGGTGCCGTCAGTGCCTTGCCATTTGTTCCCAGTGAAGTGATCACTGCTGTGGAAGAGCACATAAGAGAAATAGACACTGTGCAGAGAGAAACTTTTGCTACCACACAAGAGAAATGGGAAGGCTCCTTGGAAATAAAAGGTATTTCTCTCTCTTGATTGAGCATTAAACCATCACTATCTGTGATTCTTCTCGCCCAGAAGGAACCCCAAATGCCACGTTCTTATTATCTCCTTAATTTCTGAGTTAGAGGGTGAAGTTCAACTTTCTGTTTCTACCCAGTGCCTTATATGGTGCCCACTCCACAAGAGTGGACTATGGACAATGGTTGTGGGCAGAAGGGAGCTGGACTTTGAGGAGAGCTGGGATGACTTTGATAGCATACTCAGAAATGACTTTTGTTTTTCACATTGTTTCCATTTGTTTGCTTTTTGTGTAGAGGGAATAAGGAACGTGTCTATAGGATGACAATTAAACAAGCTCTCAAATTCCCTCTTCCTTTTTACTAGCTGTAAATGTTCACATGAAAAGGAAAATTTAAGGGGGAAGGGGGCAAATTAAATATCAACACCAAATATTCCAAGTCTCATAGGTGAGTTGATTTGAAGAGTTTATATTTTGTATTCTAGAACAACCATAACTATGTTCCATCTGGGTGACATGGATTGGGGCTTTTTGAATTTACTTTAACTCCCCAAATCGATCAAAAAACATCTTGGCTTTTTATTCCTTTTATAATCTCATTTCTTCTTACTGTATTCCTTTCTCATTTTCTATTTGAGTTGAAGGTTTAGACTGGGGTTTATGGATAGTGATCTAGCCAAAGGTTTATAGATCATAAAAATCTTTCACGATTAAGAATTCCTGACCTCATCATATAGTAATGAATGCAGTGGGCATCCAGCCCTTCCTTGCCCATGTATAAGGAAGGGTGATAAAGTACATCTTCTGAATAGAAGACAATGCAAATTAAAATAGGTCAAGATTGATGGCTATAGTGAGAAAAGATGTAAATGTGTCCAATTCTGCTAGTATTTTTTTTTCAGTCCCCTGTGCCAGTTGTGGTCTAACTAATATGATGTCAACATCCTATCATAAGAATTTTATGGTAAGGACCACACTCACTACTCATTCTGTTGGCAAGTCCATATATACTTTAATTCTTAGCCTCAATGGCTGTTACTGAAGGCCATCTAACATACATTCATAGTTTTATCAATATATTTCAACTATATAAAAACTAGTAAGTATTCCTAGCATTGCATATAATCTAATAAATATTCATTTAAAAGTAGTTTAAATGGTTGTATCTGCATTTCGTAGGAAAATAGAGTCTTCTTGCAGATACTTAAATGTTCCTGTCATGGACTTTCTCACTTTTTTCTGCTGCTACCTTCTGATGGCCCTGACTACCAGAGATGTCCATGCCCACTGTTACATTACAGCTTTGTATGAAGACTGAAAACTTTTACTTTTTCTATTAGCACAGGAGCTACTTCCAACAGAAAATGTCAAATGTATCCTTCTATTAACGGAAATTAGAACAGTGTTTGAGGGCGTAATGCAGTGACTCAATAGAGATGTGGTGTTTGAAAGAGCTATGAGGAAGATAGCAGGGTGAGGTTGAATCCCTGAAAGGTATGGACGAATTAGAATAAGTTATGTGCTAAACATGTACGAACAAAATAATCTGAGCATGAAGACATTTACATGCATGGAGATGTTTGCACGTCCATCTGTATTTCATTTAATTATTAGGTCAAGGTGATGTGTTGAACTCAGTTGAAAAGACATCACAGAATCTTTGCACTGAACATCCACTGGCTTAACTGAATTAAAATGCTGTTGTCCTGACACTTGTCTGACAAGGTCTCACTAAAATTTAAAGCCAGCGAGGGCGGGGACAATTCTCTGCTTTATGTGTTGTCACACTCAGTTATTAATAGTGCTTCTTGTGGACAAAAAAGCAAACAGATGTGTCAAACTTCACTTAGATTTATTCTTAATGAGCTACAAGACAGGGACCTGAATGAATAGATATAAACAATCAATCGAGTGTGTTTTTTTTTTCTTGTTTCTTTTAGGAGATCATTGATCCAACTGGAAGAATAAGTATGATGAAGACCCATAATTTCTGTCCTCTGAGGAGCAGTGGGGGACACACAATTTCTTAATCTGTAGCATCACCTAATACATTATTACAAAGTGTGAGTTTTGTTATTTTCAAATGGTAGTTGGTAAAGACTTTTGTTTCTGTTGTTTATTTTGTTTTTTTACCTTGACGGGAAGGTTACTGAACATTCAGGGTAAACAGTAGGTTCAGGCTGTGTTTGTCTCAAGCTTTGTTGATGCTGTGTTTATATGGCTATGTGGTAGATAAAGATTCACACGCATGCTTCTGGTTTCTCTAGTTTTATTAAATAGAACTTTTCTGACGTTCATGTGCACTGTGACATTAAACACGAAAATAAAATAAGAACCTGAGACTGTCAACATCAGAGCTAGGCAGTACATTTGCATATTTGCATGGGTACTGAAAAAAAAATCTACTTAATTTTTACTTTCTAGGGATGTTGCTGTTTGGTCAGGTTCTTGAGGAAAACAGAGGAAAAAGATGGAAGCACTGTCTCAAGATGCCTCTATCTTCTGTGGTCCTTTATGAGCTATAGTTAATGATTCTGTGGCTATAGAGAGAGGAGAGTTATATTTGCAAACAGATGCTCTGCAGAGCTGAGCTCTGATGCGGCAGGCACAGTGCCCTTAGGAAAGAGTACATATTTATATACAGTTCAAAGGACTATTTCAAAATTAAAGATAGGTTTCCAGGGGACTATATATCTGTAAATTGAGTCGTCAGGGTTTTTTTTTTTCTACTTTAGCCTACTGAGGATAATTTATGATGCTAATAATTAATTTTTCAAGACTGTATTAGCAAAATAGTATCTATAAGTTATGCATATATTTCCTGTAATTTCACTAGATTCTCTCTTAGAGACATGTACTAATTGACATGTTATTTAGTGTGATTTTTTTGTCACATTACTAATTGTATTATAATTAGAAACTGTAAATAAAGAACTATTTTATTTGCTTACTTTTGCTATCACTGATATGCTTTCATTGCCTGAGCAGATTGCTTAGAACTTAATTCCGAAAAGGAATAAAAATATAAATAGAAGAAATGCATCTTCCTACTTGCCGTAAATTTAACTGAAAACTATTATATGCTCTGTGTATTGAGTCCAGTAAGAATAGATAGATGACACAGTATGCCAGTGAAGGAAGAGGAGGACAAATAAGTGGTTTCCCTCCTTCCGTTAAATACAGTGTGAAGTGGGATGCACAGCATTGAAGTCAGATTGCTCCCCACTTCGATGCGCACAGTGAGAATACTTACTATTGGAAGCTGTGTTTCTGCTCTTCCTTGGTCCTCCGTTTTTTTAGATTAGTCAACTGATAGTGTGTGGAAAAGCACGAGCAGTGGCTTTGAGGCCTCTGCAACATTTCTGGTTTGTAAACATCGGCTCAAGATGTCTTCCAAACAGTACCTCCTACATCCTTCAGTCCCTAAGAATTCTCAGACTCCAAGGTCCTCTGCTGTAGATGTGAAGCATGGCTTGTTCTGTGACATCATTTGCACCTAGACAACTTGCTTAACTATAAAGTCTTCTGGAGGTAGGAAGAGCGACAATTTCCAACAGTAACTTTTATAAGATCCTCCCCACGGTTTGGGATGACCTTGGCTGGTTTTCAGGACCCTGTGAGAGCTGTTGACACCACAGGGAAGAAGTGTGTTATGGGGAGATCTGACTTCAGTAGCCACTCTCTGAGTGACATGAAGCAAGCTTGGTTGCTTGTTTTGTTTGAAATTATTTACTTTTAATGCAGCACAATTCACACAGGTTTTTCTTTCTGTAACAGGCATGGAGCTGACATGGGTGTGGGCAGGCACACATAGGACTGAAGAAAGTAACATTGACTGCATGCATACAGTGGACAAGATACTTTCTTATTAAAAAGTTAAAAACATCTTACCATAAATGCCCTTTATCTTACGTAATAACAAAAAGTCATGGTTTGTCTGCTTATCCCTTTTTTCAATAATAATAATTGTTTATTGACTTGTGTAAAAACTTTTACTGTACTCCATATTGTCCAATTATACCAAGATTACTAATTGCTTAACTTTAATATATGACTATGACTGTAGAGCTTTTCTGTTATCTTAATGTGATGTCTTAAATTGCTTACCATTTCCTTACTATTTTGAAATGCCCACTTCTATTATATAATAAGCACATTCAGACTATCTTTTCCATCCAAGAAAATGGTGTGTTTTTCATGATAGTTTTGACTATCCTCAAGTTTGTGCCAGATTCCTTCAGTTTATGCCGTTCACTGATAAATCAGGACTATCTGATTAAATGAATGCTGCTAAGAAAGACTTGCTGGCAACATGGGGAAAGCATGCAAACAGAATTGAGCACACCAGGAAGATGAATACCAGACCTAGTTACAGGTGTCTGAAAGATCATCACAAACCATTTTTCTCCTTTTCCGTCTCTATATAAGTTTTCATAGCAATAAATTAAGCAGTCATTGGAAGGGACACAGGGAGCAAGAGAAATGTAATATTAGGTTGTCATCAAAGTCATATATTCAGTTAATAAATAGTAATGTGAGAAAATATTTGGTATGTAATATGCAAAAAAAAACCATGTGGGTCAGGTATACTTTAATTCCTTTAAAAAAAAAACATGTTTTCCATAGAATGATTCAAAAGTTCACACAGATACATCAAGATTGGCTACTTGGTATTGAGATAGTATGATTTATAATCTTTTTTTCTTCCTAATACCATCTCACATTCTCTATATCCTTCAGGATTACCCCATGGTGTTTTTATAATCATCACCAAAACAACTGTTTCATGTGTTTCACTGAAGAAATAAGGAAAATCTCACACTATCACCTGTAAAATTAAAAGCTGTATTGTACTTTTGAACACTAAGTTACCAAGAGGGATGCCCAGAATGTTACTTTAGAAGATTTTAGGAAAAAAAAAATCTTCCATGAACTTAGAAGTAGAAATTATAAATATCAGATAAAGCCTGTAAACATGTAGTAGGATGATGATCTAAAAAAGAAAGTCAGGGGGCAGAATGATTCCCAAAATTAGAAAACACAATCGTCAAGCCAACTGTATGAAGTTTTGGAGGCTTTAGAACTGACGCTGAAAAAAAAAAATTGAGTCATGTTGTTTCTAAGCCCTTCCCCTACCGTCTTCCATGTGTTGCCTCCCCAGCAACACATCCTTCACCCTCATAGGCTGTTTTCCTTCTCTCCTCTTAGGCTTTACGTGTCCTTCCTGCCTCACTCAGCGTAATTTCAGTGGTAGCCCACTGCCTCCTCTCCCTGCTTATATGGCTCCTGTTTCTCTCACCACTCATTTCCTCTTATCACTTGAAGAAACCACAGTGCTGGTTGAGCCACCTGGGCCTAATTTGTGCCCACTCCCACGCAATTAAATGCAGCTGTAGAGAAATGGACGTTGGCGTGGATTTGACTTTAAAATCCTGACTGTAGCTCTCAAGGGACCTTTGGGGCTTTCAGGTGGTCACATTTTGTCTTCTTATTTCGTTTACTCTGCAAGGATACTGTGATTGTATCATTTTTTAATCATCTCTTCCCAAGCCTGCAGTACTTTTCCACAGCTTCACATACCACTAATGAATAGGCAGTCGACTTCCCTGGGAAAGTTGGGGCAATTACCATGACTAGTGTCTGTTGCCCATGTTCTTACTTCCTACACCTGGCATGCTGCTGCGTAGAGAAAGGCATGTTTAATTGTTCATGTGTCAGGGTTGGGCAGGGGGGTCACAGAAGATGACCTCTGGATCCTGTTTCTTAGAATGAAGCAAGAAGATACCAGCTTCCAGTGACTAATTGAGACTCCAGATCTGTGAGAAATTAACTTCTGTTGCATTAAATTCTGTTACTGGTAGAGTTTTTATGAATTATACAGTCTAGAGTTATCTGCTATAGTAGCAGAAGACATGAGTAAAATACGTGACTTAAATTCATGTTTCTAGCCCAAATATTGATTGAACAACTTTAGATACAATTCTTAAGCATCTGTTGGATATCTCCACTTGCATAAACAATTCAATTTAAACATAGTCAACTCCATTTTCCTCTTTAAACCGCTAGCCATACATTTTCATGTAACTTGGTTGATGGCTGATCAATTTTCCATTTGCTCAAGTCAAAAGTTTTGGCATAATCCTATATCAACCTGGATGGGCTAGATGACAGGGTAGTGACAAAGACTATCCAAACTTAGTGCCTTTCAGTAGCAAAGGTTCTGCCATGCCGCCTCCTTACCAGGAGGAAGCTTTGATCTGTGTCACAGTCACTCTCCTGGACCCAGGTTGAGTAATTCATCATATTGAAAATGAATTTGACCCTTAAACTTTCATATTATACGAATCAGTTTTAAATGCTTATTAGCATGCGATAATTATATATTGCAATGTGCTTCATTATAACATTTTTGTCTATGTATTTCAT